CCATCAGTGAAATGATTGAGGGCCCCGGGCTGGGGATTCGAACCCACCACCTTAGGTGTACGTGGCTGGCGCCTTAGCCGGTTGAGCTATAGGCGCCGAGCCTATATCTTTGTTTTTTAAGAGGTTTGTAAACAAATAATCTCTTGAAGTAATTTTTTTGTCATTGGCCCTATTGATAATGAAGTATAATTTTTATTTTTTTGAAACAGAGTCTCACTTAGTCACCCTAGGGAGAGTCCCGTGGCATCATCATAACTTACAACAACCTCAGACTCTTGGGCTCAGGCAATTTTCTTACCTCAGCCTCCCAAATAGCTGGGACTACAGGTGTCCCCCACAACACCCAGCTATTTTTTAGAGATAGGGTCTCGCTCTTCCTCAGGCTGGTCTTGAACTCTTGAGCTCAAGCAATCCACCCATTGCGGCCGGCCTTGGCCCCCTGCCCCCCTTTTTGTGTCATCTGGATTAGATCACCATAGCTCACTAGATCACTGTAACCTCAAACTTCTGGGCTCAAGCCATCCTCCTGCTTTAGCCTCCCAAGTATCTGGGACTACTGGCATGTACCACCATGCCTGGCTAAGTTTTCTATTTTCCTATTTTTTGTAGAGACTAGTCTCATTCTTCTGAAGAATGGTCTTTTAACTCCTGGCCTCAAGCAAAGTCCTAAGGCTTCCCAAAGTGCTAAGATTACAGACCTGAGCCACTGCACCCAGCCTATTGTTTGGTCTTTTTTTTTGAAAAAAGAGTCTCACTTAGTCACCTGGGCTAGAATGCTGTGGTGTTACCCTAGCACACAGCAACCTCAAGCTTCTGGGTTCAAGCGATCATCTTGCCTTAGCCTCCTGAGTAGCTGAGACTACAGGTGTGTGCCATTACGCCAGGCTTAATTTTTTTTTTTAATTTTTAATAAAGACAGGTCTCACTTTGCTCAGTCTGGTCTTAAACTCCTGACCTAAAGTGAACCTCCTACCTCAACTTCCCAGAATGCTAGGATTATAGGTGTGAGTTACCATGCCCGGCCTCTTTGGTCTATTTTTAAAAAATATATTCATGCCCACCAATATTTTATTATGAAAAGTTTCAAATATATAACATAAGAGTTGAAACACTTGTACAGGAATACTTGTGTGCTCACTCTATTGGTTTCCTATCGGTGGGTAACAAATCACCCAAATTTAATAGCTTTGAACAGTCGTCATTTATAATCTCACAGTTGCTGCAGGTGAGGAGCCTGGCAAGGCATGACTGGGTTCTCTGATTATAGTTTATCAAGCTGTAGTCAGGGTGTTGGCCAGGTCATCTGTCTCATCTGAGGCTTGAGTCTTCTTCCAAGTTCATGTAGGTGTTTGGACTCATTTCCATATGGTTGCAGGAATAAAGTTCTGTTTTTTTTTTTCATGTCAGACAAGTAATGCCGACGTCGTAACAAGATTTGTGGGGGGCACATCTCATGCATGCGCATAAAAACCCAATCATCACACTTATGAACTACAAAAGGATCAGGAATAAAGTTCTGTTTTTTCCTAGTTATCAGATGGGAAATGCCCTTAGCTCCTAGGAGCCACCCACAGTTCCTTGCCATGTGGATTCCTCTTACGATATGACAGTATATTTCTTCAATGCCAGTATGGGAGAATCTCTCTCTTTCTAGTCTGCTAAAATAGAATCTTATATAACACAATCTGATTATGGAATTGCCATAGTTTATTGGTTAGAAGCAAGTCACAGATTGTCCCTGTACTTAAGGGGAAGGGATAAGAGCTTGACTTCTCTGGGATGTGCCTACACTTTCACCATCAAGATTCTACCATTAATCTTTAATACCACCATTTTTTTAGTTTATATTCATTTCTCCATCGCTGAGTGACTCATGTCAGTGTCTTTTTCAAAGTAATCTCATAGATTGGGAAGTGAGGAAGAGCAGGCATAGATTTAGCTGAAACAAGATTGGCTGTGGGGGCAGCGCGCCGTAGCTCAGCTGGCAGGGCGCCAGCCACATAACATACACTGAGGATGGCGGTTTTGAACCCAGCCCTGGCCAGCTGAAAAAACAACAGTGCAACTGCAACAAAAAAAATACCGGGGCGTTGAGGCAGGTGCCTATAGTCCCAGCTACTTGGGAGGCTGAGACAAGAGAATCACTTAAGCCCAAGAGTTTGAGGTTGCTGTGAGCTGAGATGCTACAACACTTTACCCAGGGTGACAGCTTGAGACTCTGCCTCAAAAAAAAAAAAAGATTGGGTTGTCAGTATGATTGGCTAAGAGATGGGTATGTAGATTCATTATACTGTGATCTTTACTTTTTTGTGTCATTGAAAATTTGCCTAAGAAAAATGTCCTTAGCTCGGTGCTGATAGCTCAAGCAGCTAAGGTGTCAGCCACATACACCCCGGCCTGCCAAACAACAATGACATCTACAACCAAAATAAAAAAAAGAAATAGCTGGGTGTTGTGGAGGGTGCCTATAGTCCCAGCTGCTTGGGAGGCTGAGACAAGGGAATTGCTTAAGCCCAGCAGTTGGAGATTGCTGTGCGCTGTGATGCCATGGCACTCTACCCAGGGCAACAGCTCGAGGCTCTGTCTCAAAAAAAGAAAGAAAGAAAGAAAGAAAGAAAACAAAAATGTCCTCAAGCTTTATCCATATTGTAGCTTGTGTGCGAATTTTCTTCCTGAGCCCTGTTTGGTGGCTCATCCTATAATGCTGGCACTTTGAGAGGCCAAAGCAGGATTGCTTGAGGCTTGGAGTTTGAGACTAGCTTGAGCAACACAGTGAGACCTCATTTTTACAAAACTTAAAAGTTAGGGTGGTGCCTGTGGCTCAAGAAGTAGGACGCCAGCCCCATATGCCAGAGGTGGCGGGTTCAAACTCAGCCCTGGCCAAAAACTGAAAAAAAAAAAAAAAATTAGCCAGGCATGGTGGTAGGTGCCTGTAGTACTAGCTCTTCAGGAGGCTGAAATGGCAAGAGGATCACTTGGGCCCAGGAGTTTGAGGTTGCAGTGTGCTGTGATGACACCTCTGCACTTTAGCCCAGGCAACAGAGTGACATCCTGTCTTAAAAAAACAAAACCAGACGAATTTCCTTCCTTTTTAAGGCAGAAAAGCATTCATGCCACATTTTGTTTATCCATTCATGTGTCAGTGGACACTTGGGTTGCTTCCATCTTTTAGTTATGGTGAATATGCTGCTATGAACATGAATGTACCACCCTCTCTTTGAGTCCTTGTTTCACTTCACTAATTTTTGTTATACACCTACAAGTAGAATTGCTAGATCATGTGGTAATTCTATTTTTTTTTTTTTTGAGGAACTTCTATACTATTTTCAACAGCAGCCACCTCATTTTACATTCCTACCAACAGTGTGCAAGGGTTCCACTTTCTCTACATCCTTCCCAACGCTTGTTATTTTCTACTTTTTTTTTTTTTTTT